CAGGCAGCGGGCTGAGCTCTCAGGAAGAAGATACCCAGCAAGGAAACAATTTGCTTCTGTGGGATGAAAAAAACCCAGAAAACTATCACCTCTGATCTATGTGACAGTCTTGTGCTGTTACTGTAACACCCAGACTGACACTGGGATTGGCAGGAACTGCATCAGCACTAAGCAATGTGGGATAACGCACCGTGCCGGGGCATGCAGCCTCCCATTGCAGCAGCTTTCGGGGTTGCATGAGAAGCAGAAGGTTGCACACAGAAGAGGTGTGCAGGGGAGCACTGTCCCATTTTGCTTTGCAGAGGGGACGCTGTGCCCAGGGTCTTATCCTGCGGCTTGCATGGCCCTGGTGGGATCCAGCACAGCAGAGACAGGGCTGAGCCCAAGCCCATCGCGCCGGCGCTCAGCTCAGCTCAGCTCAGCTCGCCCGCTGCTGCTTCAATTGGCTTTGACGGCGTGCACAGAGCTCACGCTGTGATGGCATCACGCTGCTGTAGTAAAAGACATTTTGTTGTTGGCTTTTTTCCCCCAAACCCTGATGGTTTTGGCACATGTTAGTTGGTGTTGGGACCCAAGGGGGTCCGCGGAGCTGCTGCCCGCACCCGACACGTGCAGCAGGCATCAGGTCAGGGCGCAGCCTGGCGAGACACGGCGAGCTGGGAGCTGGGCGATTCTGGTGCTGTGATTCTGGTTTGAGGTAGGTGCCATGAGTCACATGGATGACTTGTAATGGTGCCTTGGGTGTCTCAGCTCTGCAGGCCGCCCTTTGGGGTTTTTTTTTCCCTTTTCTTGCCTTTTTTTAAGCAGTGCGTCCTGGCAGAGAGGGACTGTTGTGGACAGGGCTGGCTGGCAATGGGAAAAAGGCTGCTTGAGGACATGGCCAGAAATGAATCATGGCGATTGCTCCTCTGCTGGAAACGTCATTTCTCCATGGTAGATGTTGCCTTTGGTTGCCTGGACAACTTCTGCTGGGATTTCCAGAGCTTCTTGGAGATGATAAATATGTTTAGTTAGAGGTGTGTTTGCGTGCTTTTGCCCACTAGAGCTGCGTCACGATGCAAATATCCCCATCGCATAATGCAAATATTGGTGACGAATAGCACAGACTTCTTTGCACGTGGCTTGCATGGCGATCTAGCACTAAATGTCCTCTGGCTTTTGTTTCTCTCTTGGCGTAGACATAGACATAGAATCATTAAGGTTGGAAAAGACTCTAAGATCATCGAGTCCAACCGTCGACCCAACACCCCCATGCCCACTAAACCATGTCCCTAAGCGCCTCATCTGCACGTCTTTTAAATACTTCCAGGGATGGTGACTCAACCGCTTCCCTGGGCAGCCTGGTCCAATGTTTAACCACTCTCTCAGTAAAGAAATTTTTCCTCATGTCCAATCTAAACCTCCCCTGGCACAACTTGAGGCTGTTTCCTCTCGTCCTATCGCTTGTTCCTCGGGAGAAGAGACCAACCCCCACCTCGCTACAACCTCCTTTCAGGTGGTTGTAGAGAGCGATGAGGTCTCCCCTCAGCCTCCTTTTCTCCAGGCTGAACAACCCCAGTTCCCTCAGCCGCTCCTCATCAGACTTTTTCTCCAGACCCTTCACCAGACCCTTCTCCAAGGAGAACTCCTCCTCTCCCTCAAGCAAACCCGTGCCCCTGGCTGGGAGCCCTGCAGCACCTTTCCGCAGTCCCTCCAGCCTCCCAACCCAGTTTTGGAGGAGCAGAGCAGCATCTCCCCACCGTGTCAGCTCCTCTCCCACGCTGATGCCCCTGCAAGCAGGCAGCCATCCCATTCAGATTGCTGACTTGCTCTGCCTCCATTTTCTTCTGAATCAAACAACTCCTGTAGCATCAGGTAACTGGAAACCTTCGCTCTCCGTACAGCAAGAGGCATCCCATCTGCTTCCTTCCTGTGGTTACATTAACCAGAGTGACTGAGCTTTACTGAAAAACTCACCACAGCTGAGCTGATGCTGCCCTTTTCTCCAAGCAGGGCAGAGCCCGGCACTGGTTTCGCTCACGAGGGTCCTGGGGCTCCTACCTTGAGCTGGTGACATGAGCTCTGACAGCTCTTTCCTGCCTCTCCATGGAAGAAAAGTTATATAAAAGGGGTACAAATACATGCAGAGGGGTCAGGGGAGCATGCAGACCAGATCTGCCTGGGGTGAAGCTTTGAGCAGTGCTCGTAAGTGCAGGTTTTACTGAGAACACAAATAATCTCTTGGGGCAAATTCAGCAATTCCACTGACCAACACCGGGCTGAAGTCTGGGCAGAAACACACTTAGAAATTGTGGTATTAACTGAAAATATTTTTGTTTCTAATGCAGTGAGGAAAGAAACCCCAGCTGCCAATAAACACCCGGAGTCTGCTGGACTTTCAGTGAAAGGGCTAAGAGCAGTGAAAACGAAAGAGGCTCGAAAGTGAAACAGAAACGTGGCCAGGTGGGTACCTGCCAGCAGCCATCCCGGGCTGTCGGTGTGAGCTGGAGTTTGGAAATGGTTGCACTGGTTGAATTCTGGGTTTATCAGTAGCAGAGGTTTAAACTCCCACGTGCACACCTGCTCGGTTTTGTTCGGGATTCAACGGCTGTGCATATGGATCCACGTGCATAGATACATAATCCCCAGCCCGAGGAAAAGCAAGCAGTTCTGTTGTTAATTTATATTAGTCTAGTTTTTAGCTAGTATCTATTATCTGATCTAGGATCAAGGCCTCATCCTGACTGAGAACAAACGTGAAGTTAAAAACAACTCAGTAGATAAACGGAGGCAGCAGTGCTATCTCCTGTAAGTCAGGGGAAGGGAGGTGCAGGGTTGTTAAAGCCCTGGTGACTATCAATGGCATTTGGGCACGTAACCAGCTATGTAACTGTAAATGCTGCTCTGAAAAGGGCAATGGCTGAAACACTTGCTCGACTTAGAGGCTGAAGAGGCTGGAGTGACCCATGGAGTACCTTGGGGCCAGCATTTCTCTACTGTAAGAAATCGCTGGCAGGTATTTTGTTCCAGCAAATTTTGTCAGAAATTTGCATTTAAATGTGAGGACCTCGGGTCTTCTCACTTCCCTGGCCATTAACGCATGCAACACATCCTCGGTGGCCCTCCTCGCCTGGATCCGTGCCTGCTGGGCTCTTCCCCAGCACAGTGACACTGGGCACAGCATCTAGGCACTGGCGCTGATTTACAGCCCTGTTAACAGCTTGGAAGAACAGAACAGAGGCTTGATTCATTAGGAGGTCTTTATTAGCAAAAATAAAAGATTTCTTTTCATACAGATAAACATGAAAAAGTTCATGCAGTGACAGAAGCTGTGGCCAAGGCACAGTGCCCCCGCCGGCGCGAGCCCCTGTCAGCTCTCACCGCGGCTCCGGGGCCGTCCTTGCTTCTCCTACAACATTGAAGTCGAGGCGTTTGGTGGAAAAACGAGTACAGAGCTGGCTCAACGGGAGCTTAATGTGTTCTGGTAAGAAGCTTAATTTAAGTTTTACAGTGTTTGGCTCCCACGCTGCCCTTGAGCCGATGCCACCTGATTGTTTCAGCGGAAAGGAGTGAACCACGGAACAGCCATACTGCTTTGGGGCGCTCCTCTCCCTCTTTTTTTTTGGTTCCCGTGCGGGCAGGCTGACAGCAGGGATGCCATTCGGTCACCATAAATGTACAAGTAGAGTAAATCAAGTATAAATAGCCTCTCTTCAGTTGTAACTTTCAAAGCGAACAACAAACTGACAGTGTTTCATCATATTGGTGCCCTAATACTTCTAAATATTAGAAGCAAATGCCTCTGGGTTATGGCATTTTCCTCTGGCTCAGTGTCCTGTAGCACTCACGGGGGCATGCAGGAGACCGGGGCAAGGAGGAAGAGGAGCCCGAAAATCAGCAGCTCCCGGGGGCACCAAAGCTGCTCTCGCCGCAGCCTTCCCCCGCAGCGCTCGCCTGCTGCGGCTCCTCGTGCGTAGGATTAGACATAACACAAACCCAAATATTGTCGGTGCTGCGTGCAGCTTTATGAATTTGAATGCAAATTACCCAAGCCACCTTAAAATGGTGGTTAATTAAATACCTTATAACTTCTAAAAGAAAAAAAAACCCACAATAAAACAGCGAGTAAAACCCAATCAAAGACTGGAAAATAGTAAGATTAACTTTCAAAAGTGCAGAGTGGCCAACCCAGCAGCTCTGGAAGTCCATCGTTAAAAACATTTAAGTCAAGTTCTGTTAGAACCAAACATTTCATTCCTACTACTATTCTTTTCTTTAACCTGAACTAATCTATAGGCTGAAGTCTAGAGGTGGGGTTAACTGATCTATTGCTGGGGCATGTTGCATGCTGCTCATGGGAGCGCAGGTCCTCCTCCTCCTCCACGTTTCCATGCACAAGAGAAAAAAAAGCTCTTAGTTACATTTATGGTTATTTTGCTCAGTGCAAGGAATAATTTAGAATATTTCAGTGCCTAATTCCAACTGCAGAACCAGAGACGGTGACATGGTTATGCATAGAAACATTTGATTGCATAAACAAATAGAGGGATAGAACAGGAGGAGAGTGCTCATTTGCTTAAAATTAAGCTTTGCTGAACTCGGAGCTGGAATTGCTCCTGATCAGGCGACCACGCTCAGTGAAACTGCACTCAGGATAAGCTCTGCTCATTTTCTGCTCCCCAGAAGAATGCTGCTTTGGGTGTTTTGAAGCTATGAATAAAATAGCACTATTATAGACAGTATTAAAATATTGAACAATAAATAGTATTTTACAAGCTCATCACACTTTTCTTCAAAACATATTGTAAACATAAATACTGAGGTATTAGAAGTAATAAATATTAAATTCAGTTGTTAACCCCCCCCCACTTTTAAATACAATACTAAACTTGAAGTTATTGACCTGTAATTCTTGACTTGAACCCTAAGATAACTTAATCTCTTCTGTGCTCTTGCAGCCTAAAGTGATTTCTGAAAAAATAGCAGGATTTTGTGCGAAAGATGCAGACCCGTGGGCGTTTTCACTTCCTTCTCTGCATCAGCAAGTACGCTTCGATGTAGTTGATGAAAATGTCAAACTCTCCCATGGCCTTATAGATTCCATTCTCGTTCATCTGCAGGTGAAAGTCAAGTCTGTTTAAGTCTGAATGCGACGATATACGTGGTGTACAATCACTAGACATATTCTCCTTCCACTGCCATCTCCAGCTTCTCTGCCCCACCCCTCTGGGCAACCCGCTGGCTGCTCCTTCGAGCATCGCTCCCTGGATTTCTCTGCCTTAGGTATTTACGTAATTAAAGACTTTTTTGGATTCTGTTCTCTGTCCTAAGTTGAAGCCAGCAGTAAAATCCGCTGCCTCGCCTGGGGCGGCGGGTTCCTCCCAACCTCAGCGCAGCCACGTGAGCAGGCACCTTACCTTGTTGAACGTCTCCTTAATGTGCTTTATGGTTTTGCTCCTCTTCTCGCACGTGAAGAATCTGTGCTGCAAAGGGACAAAAGCAACGGCTTCAACCACACGGATTTCCTTCCCGGGGCGTGTGGCAGCGGCTCTCCCCTCCCCTCCTCCTGCCCCTCGTCACTGCCGCCACGCCAGTCTCCACCTTCCCCTTCCCCACGTGTGGCCATGGGGTTCTCTGGGGCACCAACTGCGGCTGCTTTGCACCGTACACTGGTGAAACGAGCACGGCACGACCCGAGCACGGACCCCGAGCCCTTTCCCAGCCCCGTGCCCGTTGCCACCGGCCCCGGGGCTGGGCGAGGGCAGCACCACGGTACTCTCTGCCTAGGGCAGGGTTCGCCCCATCTGACTCAGCCTGTGACAGGTGATGGTGTCATGGCCGCACTGGGGGTGGCTTCGGGAGGCGTCGTCGCAGAGCCACGCTGCTCCGCTGCTCCGGTGCCCAGGTAAAGGACGGACCCTCCGCCCGCCCTCCCCTTATCTCTTCAGCAGACTGAGTTGGGTGGGGTTGGCTGCAAATAAGTGGTGCTCCTGAACAGAGCCTCTGAACCATCAGTATTTAACTGATGAAAGCCTGGAGAGCAGGGACTAGGAGAAACCCCATCCTTGTGGGGTGCCTGCCTGGAGCCTTGCTCCTCCGCACCATCCCGACACCCGTGCTCCTGCTCCTGGGGAGACCCAGCACCCGCTCTCCACCCTGCTGCTGGTCTGGGACTGGCCCTGTCTTGCCGGAGCACAGATTTCAAACCCCCTCCCCCCCCGCCATGATGCTGAGCCCCACTCACACAGCGCCTCATCGTTGCCTTCAGGCTCAGCAGCAGGTTGCCCAGGTCGCCCATGCTCTGCTGGTGGTGCGTGCTGGTCTTCATGGCGCTGGGCAGGACCTCCTCCGTGTAGAACCGCATCATCTCCGACACCGACTGGCAGGCCGAGGCGCCC